TTTCCTAAGAGAGTTTCTTTTCCCAATCCTTTTTCCTATTATTGCAAAATAACAAATCTAAAAAAAAACTCATGAATAACATAAGTTAACTTTTCCTAAACAAGAAAATTCTGCCAGTTATTATTTCGCATCACAAGAAACAAAACTAATGTGGGAGAAGCAAGTAAAATCATGTTGCAGCAGGGGCACAACCAATAAACCCCTTTTTTAGATCAATTGCAGACAAACCAGAAAAGAAACAATTTAAAAGGGAAGCCAAGCAATTACCAATTACAAAGAAAGGAAGAGGAGGGAAGAATATGACAAAAAAAAAAAACAACACACCTGCAAAATATAGAAAAATCAGACTTTATATTCCTTGAAATTTCGAATACAAGTTGCTGTACTCCTTCTTCTTCTCTGCTCTCTTTCTCCCTCTCGATCTCTCCAATATTACTTTTGAGCTTTGCCAAATTTTCTCCCCTTCTCCCTCAATTTTTCTAGAATTTTCCACTTCCCCCCACAAAGCCGAAGGTGCCCCCCTTTTATATAGAAAAAAAAAAAAAAAAACAAGAACAAAAACAACACACCTGCAAAATATAGAAAAATCAGACTTTATATTCCTTGAAATATCGAATACAAGTTGCTGTACTCCCTCTTCTTCTCTGCTCTCTTTCTCCCTCTCAGTCTCTCCAATATTCCTTCTGAGCTTTGCCAAATTTTCTCCCCTTCTCCCTCAATCTTTCCCAAATTTTCCACTTCCCCCTACAAAGCCGAAGGTGCCCCCCTTTTATATAGAAATAGATAGGGCTCCAATCCTTTTCTAATTCTAAATTCTAATCTCAATCCTCAAAATTACAGATAATAATCTAATCCTATTTGAAATTGGAATTCTAAAACTAATCTAGTCTTTTTACACGTTTTCCCTCTTTCAAGACTAGATTCATACCTTTTAAAGATCAGGACTCCTCATTTGAATCGACTTCGAAAACTTCCCCTTCAGTTCTTGATAAAGACTTCAACTCCGAAAATCTCTTCTTGTGTTGTTGTGATCTATCCAAACTTTGAATGGATTTAGAGATAAATCAAGAGATTTTGGGAGTTTTAGGGAGAGTGGCTGGCGGCAAAGCAAAAGGAAGCAAGAAAAATCGAGGGCTAGGGTTTGTCTGAACCCAAGCCCTTTTTATTTTTTAGCACATTGGTAAAAACGACGTCGTTTTGCCATTTTTCTTCTCAGCCCTTCAAGTTTCCAGCCTTTATAAAAAATAGTCTATTGCCTTCTAATTTTATCATTTAGCCCCAATTAAAATTGGGTTATGACAGGCGAGGAACGAGGACAGGGGGCAAAATTTGCCCCCGTCAATAATCCTCGCAGGGATCCCCGTCCTTGTTAATCGTGGGGATGAGGATGGGGAGGGGGTCCCGACCCCGCAGGGCCTTCGTGCCATCTCTAGACACACCCACTCGGCTGCTTGGATGGCAAAATATTGCCATATCCTGCTTATATGACAAGGGATTTGACGTTTGGGTGGAATTTTTGAGTTATTTGATAATTTAATTTTTTGATTTAAATAAAGTTTAAATAAAATAAAATCAAATATTTGGGTAAAAATATTATTTAAATAAAGTCTTAAATTTAAATTTAATAAATACAGTAATAGATATTAAAAAAATTTTATGTGATTTAA